ATAATTAATCGACACAATCAGAGAGTTTCTCTGAGATATTCGTAAACTGCGATATGAAAGTTAAGGTTTCTCTGGGATATTCGTAAACTGCGTCGTAGTGAAATGCTGTGCCAGAGATTCTGGAATATTTATCACAGTAGGTTGCGCCGAAAGTATAAGCTGAAATAAATATCAGTGATATATTTGTATGATATTTGTTTTCAGTGAAAGATTAGTTTTTAACATAAATTACAATCCTTGTATAATTTTAATTTAAATATAAAAAGTAAATAAAATGCAAACAGCAGGAATAGTTTTTAGTTGTTAAAAAATGTATCCGGCACAAACGCTTTATAGCTTATATCTGTAATATATATGTATATTAACTAAAATTTAATTACTAGCTTACCTTGTTCTTATTACTCATTAGGTCATAATTCTGCTCTAGAATCCGTTTTAATGTGCTATCTGTAGCAAGATCATCGCCTGGTTTCATACTGGCTCCAGATTGGCTATCACCACCCACTGTGTTCATCGTCACTTGTTTCACTCATGTAATCAGAACTACTCTCTGTATCATCTTCTATGTTTACGTCCTATAAATTACAAATGTAATTCTTATAAACTTTTCTTACTTTCGCAGTCCTCGATCTGCAATATCATACGGATAAATTAAATCATGCAGTAAATTAAACCTTTCATAGCGCGGCAACGTTAAGAAAATTACGCCCTCACAACACGATAGTCAATCAGCGTTACACACATTTTTCAAATTATTGCTACTATCTCTTTCTGTTATTAAATTATAAAAGTTCTGAAACGTCCAAAATCAAATTTGTAACTTGAAAATGAAACTTACTTCCGTATAATAATCAGCGTGTTGGCCTGAACTGCCATCTTCGGAAATTCCGGTCGTAGATGATGCAGCTCGATTGCCACCGCTTCTCGCTCTACGACAAGGTTCTTGATGCTCTGTTTCGTTTCGATTAAGCGCTTTGACATCTTATGGCTTCTCTTTTTGCGTTTGTCCCAAGACAGATTCCAACCCTTACACAATGATAAAATATATTTATATTTCTTTAATGTGTACTTTAATATGATTTGTACAAGATTAAGTAGCTTCGCTAATGCTTTTCTAACTTACTTGGAAGTGCATGAAGTATTCCACTGCTTTTCTACCTCTTAATGACATCAATGACATCAAGCAACTGCAAACAATTTTATAGTTAGTTTAAACTGCGAGTTTCCGTACGATGACAAAATTACTTATATCTACTTGTACATACAATATAAGTTTATTTCTATATTTCATAAATCTGTAATTTGATGTAATTGTTCAAATACAACTTTAGTAGGTTACCTCTCTACTTTTGCAATCTATATCTCTTTCATATTGCAAGGATACTTGTTACTAAGTTCAGAAATTATAAATTTGCATTTTACACTTACCTATATTTTTGCACGTGAAGTGTAGCCATTCGTATGTATTTGACCGAAAATGAATGTCCGGAAAAGAATCTACCATATGAAATCGTTTGTATTTCGTATGAAGACTTTTGAAGTGCAATTGAAAAGGTTTGTGAGTCATTCGTTTAATTGTAATTAATTAATTATTTTTACACCATGCATTTAGCCGAAATAGATAAATTAATAAAAGTTTTTATACGGAATCGTTTGTATTTTGTATGAAGAGTTATGAAGTGTGATTATAAAGGTTTGTGAGTCACCCAGATAATTTTAATTAAATATTTATAAACTCGGTAATTAGCCGAAATATAGATTTTTAGTTATTCATGTTAAAAGAAGAAGGCGCTAGTGTTCCCGAAGGTCCGTCTGCAATCAGAATTAATATGAACGTTTTAAAAATTATTTTATACTGAAATAAATAAATATACAGGCTAATAAGCCTGTAGCTATAAGCGATAGTTGCTAATTAAGTTTGTAAAGATGTACCAGCTGTGCAGGGTGAAGAGCAGGTTATCTCAAACGCCCTGCCACAACCCAATTAAATAAGAGACTCAAATGTCATTACCGCTGAGAAGTACTTTTTGCCATTTAAGTTAGCATGTCAGAGCAACCGGATTGTCCATTGCGTTCCACCTTGAATTTTTTTTACAGTCGTTTATTAGGATTGCCCTACTTTTAAATTGAGCACTTTTAAATGTATTATTATTAAACTACCGATATCGATATATTATTACTATTATTAGCAATTTAATATTAAAACTTGGCAGAGTGACGTAAACTAATTCGCTCATAGTATTATAACAAAGTATTATGCGTTCAAATTCTCGAAAGCTAATAGCCTCTTTATTATGTTCTCTCTTTATGTCGATCGATTCAGATAAAAATCTCCGAAGTCTTTTTCTCTCGCGATATTCCTAGAGTAAAACTGTACAAAAGCTCTACGAAATTAGCGATATTTTTCACGGATCTGGTTCGAGTCTCGGCTCTTAAGGAAAGTGCGCATGTAGAAAGAGTACGCTAACACAGTTTATCCTGCTAAATGGTTATCAATTCTCTATAAGTTCTGTATTGCATATAAATTATAGAATATCTAAACGTTTCTTTTTTTTTCGATGTCCTGTGACATTGTACAATAGAGTTACAAATAAAGATAAAGCCACACTTTACGTATAATCTGATTCAGTCTTTGCTAATGTTACATAATAACGTGCGAAAGAACTAACAGTTAGACTATTTAAGAGGCTACTTAAGAATTTTAATTGATACTGGAAGCATAAAACTGTTCAGCTAGCTTTACACAAGATATTGGTCTTCTTCTTTATGAAATCGTCAAATTATGATTATGATACATTTCTACATTATCACCAGCATCGAATCTAATCTTATTTATCGTGATACTCTTGAGAAACTGTTAATCCATTGTCTTAACTCGATCGCGGCGCAGAACTGCGTCCACCAATATTGTTCTTCTCCCTCCAATCGATTCCCGTAAAAGCTGTCTACATATTGAACAGTCGATACAACGACGGCGGATTAGTCTGAAATTAAGCACACGTTAACAATCACTCTTCTTGCTAAAATCACAATTCTCTTTTCAATCGCATACCTTGATTATGACATACCTGTAGACCAGCACGGGAGTCAGATTGTCGGCAGCAGGTATGCCTCTTTCCGAAGCCATGGAAAAGAGATTCATGATGGTAGTCGCGCAACAATACACACTGCAACTTATCCCTAGGAGTCTTATACGCCGATATCACAGCCAATTCAGCCTGCGCCCATGACCAGGGGCATTCGTAATGATAAACTTTTGAAATGCGTAGGTCCCTGTGATTTGAAGTTACGACCTTTGCCAACTTATTGATATGACCGTGAAAAAGCTGGTCCCTATATACATCTCCATCTTCATTTAGATTTAGATAGAGCGCATTGTGGTATACCCGTGCCATGACGGTTCTTTCCACCACGACTCTCGCCAAATCTAACTGGTTGGCGCTTGCCGCTGAAAGTAAGAAGTAAGTTCAGACGTCTCTGAGCACTCCGCTAAGATCAATTGCGAGATAAACAATTATATTCATGTACATTGCCAAATCGGATCGTTGTCCATTTCCACGTGGACCTTCCCTAGAAAATTATCCACGAGATCCTGTTTCTCGTCAGCTAGCGTAAGCTTTTTAAACTCTTCGCAGGAGGAAAGCTTTCTTTTTTTCCAAAAATACCCTCACACAAATGGATACAAGATGATTATTGATAGCATCCCGATCGCACTTAACTCGCACGCATAATCTGAAAAATATTATTATTAAACGGTTAACATCTTACATTTACTTATACATTACATACAAAAATGATATTTATATATAAACAGTACCTATCTAAGTGAGCTAATGTCGACAGCAATCCCTGACGACATCTGATTAAATATGCGATATAAGGAGATCGCTTTTGATAATCCTCTCGAAGTGATTTGAAGAGCTTTCTACATCCATCGTCATTAAATAGACGCACGCAACGTAAAGTTTCATGAAGATGAGCTAGTTAGACTTAGCTAACTAAGACGTAGCTCAGCTTCAGTTGTGCCGTTTGCTATGACAGAACTCTCCTGCTGATGTTCCCCATCAAGCCTCACGTTCTCTTCCTCCGCCTGAGTCTCCATTCGCGCGAAGATCACGTTGATCATCTGCATGAGAGTCGCACAGGCTGTTGTTTGATTCACCAGGTTGCGCGACGACAAGTAAACGTTGTAAACAGTACAAATTGTTAACAGTACCGTATCCTCGTATACCTCCACATGCTGGCTTGTCATTACAGTCAGCAGAGCTTTAATAATCTGCAGCTGCACACTCTCATCGGTCTGTGGACCGGTGAAGCAACCGCAAATTGTCTCGACAATGCGCACAATCAGCAGCTTGTTAGGCTCCGTTGAATCAGGCACATTGCCAGTGAGATGGCTATATGCGATTAACTTCTGCAGGCAGTCCAGTGCTGTGTCACCACAATCCGTAGTGACTAGCTCTGACATGCTGACTCAAATGGTAAGAAGTACTTCTCAGCGGTAATGACATTTGAGTCGTTCTTAATTGGACTGTGGCCCAATTAAGGGCGTTTGAGATAACCTCTTCACCCTGCACAGCTGGTGTACATCTTTGATCTCGTTACGGAGGTCCTCTGCAAGATGGAAATATGAGTGACAAACTTAATTAGCAACGAACTATCGCTTATAGCTACAGGCTTATTAGCCTGTATATTTATTTATTTCAGTATAAAATAATTTTTAAAACGTTCATATAATTGCAGACCTTCGGGAACACTAGCGCCTTCTTCTTTTAACATGAATAACTAAAAATCTATATTTCGGCTAATTACCGAGTTTATAAATATTTAGTTAAAATTATCTGGGTGACTCACAAACCTTTTTAATCACACTTCATAACTCTTCATACAAAATACAAACGATTCCGTATAAAAACTTTTATTAATTTATCTACTTCGGCTAAATGCATGGTGTAAAAATAATTAATTAATTAGAATTAAACGAATGACTCACAAACCTTTTCAATTGCACTTCAAAAGTGTTCATACGAAATACAAACGATTTCATATGGTAGATTCTTTCCCGGACATTCATTTCCGGTCAAATACATACGAATAGTGTAGCCAGGTATTAGGCATAAACAAATTTGATAAATAAATTGAAAATAGGTTAAGCACGTTTCCCGTGTTGATAAACTATTACGTAATGCGTTCCGAAACCACCACATATTCTACATCTCACCCCTACTCTCCGGCAGCTAAACGATATACAGTTTTTCGCTTTTTTTAGCGAAACCGTGATCTAACAAACGTTTTACTTAGTATATTCGAAACTAACAAACGATTCCGCATCGATTGACCACGGTTTGAATCGAAAATTGTAAAGAATTTTATATTTACCGGCTAAATTAACACTAAAAATTATTTTCGTGATTACGTAAAAACTATTAACTAACAAACGTTCTAATTAGTCTAACAATCAATAACAAACGACTAACAATCGATTCGTAAAAAAAAAATGTCAAAATTGTCCGGCTAACTTCTATGACCTATAGCGTTTTTTCTTGGCTGCACTACCGCCCTGCACTGCCCTGCACTACCCAATAGCGTTGCACTAGTGTTGCACTAGTGTTGCACTAGTAGGCGATAGTGCAGCCAAGAAAAAACGCTACTAGTTTACACCGATCACTTGATACGCGTATTAAATAGTAAATAACTAGTAAATAAGTCGGATTATTGGCTGATCAGTTCAAATATACTATTTGATACGCGTATCAAGGGATCGGTGTAAACTAGGCCTATGAGGTCTTAACCTCTATGAAGTTGGCCGGACAACTTCAACGTATCGAACTTTCATTAATTGGAATCGATTGGTGGTCGTTTGGTGGTCTTTGGTAGTCTAGTCCGATCGTTTGGTGGTTAGTCGTTTTCCTGTAAAATAAAAATGAAATTTCCGGTGTGAAGTTAGCCGGACAATTTTTATTTTTCAACCAATTTAACTTTTTTATAGCTCATTCGACGCGGAATCGTTTGGTGGTCACGAATATCACCGGTAAAACGTTTGGTGGTCAACCGTTTTCCCAGAAAATAGAAAAAACCGTGTGCTCACGCCATTGGTCGTATGACTCTGTGCTATTAGTCAGAAAAATTGTATTTGGCACCCAAATTGACTTTGATAGGGCTCAA